AGCGACTGCCCACGAAGAGCTCAAAACTACTCGCGAAATTGCTCGAAACGCTTTTGTACGCTCAAAACCTGACGCACAGTATGAACGCAGCATAACAGATACCACGCCACAACATACTTTGCAGTTTTAGCACGCTCTTCCGCTAGAACCAGCTGATTGTAGTGAGCACTTCTTTCGGCGGTGAAATGCAACGTTGCGAGACCTTGTTCCAGAAGCACTTCAGAGAGGTTCTGTGGTTTGCCTCCTCCTTCAGGAGTGAGGAATAGATATCCAATGAAGTTGCCCATCTTGTCCAATCCTTCGACTTCAATTTCTACTTCATGTTGAAGGACTAGACGACGAGTGAAAGCAGCCGCCTCATCAGCGAATGGTTCCGACGGCCCGGTGACACCTCCTGGTCCAGGACGGCCACTCTGGAATAACCAGCTTTTTTTGCTGCATTGCATGCTGTAACACCACTGAACATACCTTGGGACAATTGATTCCACCAAGAAGGAATGTTATAAGCACGGTCTCCTTAGGAATGTAGATCCTCAGTCGTGATCCGCTCGCAATAAACTCGACAACACCTTCGGCTCTAAAGCAAATAGTCCTGATAATCCTGGGAAAAACGGCATGTTAAATGGCAGGAAACGTACCGCGTACTCCTTTGCAAATACGGTAGGAATTGTTTGCTTCTGGCCAGATCTCCTTGAAGCTCTTGGATGCGAAGAGTATCCTTCTTGTCAGCACTCTTGTCCGCAAACAAACCCTTCTTGCTCTTCTCAGCATTTGCTTCTGCGGCCAATAGAGCATCGTATTCAGATGATCTGGGAAAGTAAGTACAGTAAGTATGTTTCTATTTAGAAATAACCAGTATGTGCCGTCCCTTACTACAAGCTATTCACCTGTTCTCGTCGTCTGACCGATGTCGTACCACCTTGCTCAGTCCCTTGAGAATCAACGCTTCCGCGATGTTAAGCTCTCCAACTTTTACCGTGCAGCAAGTTTTTTCTCGGGAAACTGTTAGGATTTAGGTTGATATACACTGTCAACCGAGTGTGACATTCTTACAATCAATCCTGTAAGAAGAGGTTATCTCTACCTTTCCCATAGCCTGGCTGCAAAATGTTGAAACTGAATTACCTCTTCCTGGGGGGAACCTTCTCTGGCTTGGAAAATGAATGGACAGATCGTAGAGCGGCGACTTTGTCTTCCAACAGATGGTTTCTCGTCGGAATCCCTTCAAAATGATTGCAGTTGAACTTATACAACTTAATCGTTTTCTTTGGGGCAAATGTAGTTGAATAGGTGCGGCGGGGAGGGGGGGGGGGTGGTCTATGTACTTAGCGCGGCTTGCTTCTTATGTCTGCCAAGCATGCGGCTCGCCTTTTTTTGGAGCGGATTACGGGACACTTATCAACAGAGGCTACTCCGCTGCGTAAGAGTCCTAGGGGTATTTTGTTCGAGGCATCACCTCACAGGTAGTTTGAGGGAGAAGGCTAAGGGAGGAGGGAACCAGAAAGGGAGGAAGGAAAATGAAGAAGAAGAAAAAGAGACGCATTAGAACTTCCGGGTTGGCGCAAATGCCCTGAGACCTTTTGAACATCATGACACTGTCCTTCCGCTAGGAAAATTAATTGTGAATCTCAGAAGGGAAATACGTACCCCTTTGGACCTACCCACCACAAGTTTTCTGAGTTTTCAAGTTTTTCTTTCTAGTTTTGTACTACTTAAACAATAGAAAGTGGTGTTTGTATAAAATTTAGGTGACACCAACAATTAGGGTGAGGGGGGAGGGGAGGGAGGTCAAGCCAAATACGACCTTTCCTCCCTCCAGCGACCCCCACTAGGGGTTCTTCAAAGTACGACGTGCCCTGGAACCCATTATAAAGAGAGGAGAAAACAAGAGACGAGGATGACAAGACATGGCATGGCATAGCCACGCTACCGCTCGGTATACCTGAACTACAATGCCCCTGTTTCGTTCTTCATGGGGACTATCACATAGCAACCTCAAAGCATCTCGAATTACCAACCTTGGCAACCTCACAGAAGCGAGGTGAATCTTAACTTCTGAGCCATCCGCTTTTCGAACTACCATGGCGTCAGACATGACGATTTCCACAACTTTTCCTGTGAAGTTCTTCTTGTCTCCGGTAAGAGCACTTGCAGCTGATGGCTGATATGTTCGCCACAAACGCAACTTCTTGTCTTTGGCTTGCCTGTATTTTTATATATTTTTATTTCTTGTTGATAGCAGTACTACTAAGAAAAACCCATAATTACAAACTTTTCAGCAGCGCGGAGTTTTTCTGCGCCACCAGTGCATAGTCCGATACTCCAGTCAACACATTTCGCATAGCCCTCACGCAACAACGACTCAGCTATGTTGCCTTTTGGATGAAGAACTGAGCCGACAAGATTTTGATTTGACGTTGACTCGAGAACAACCTAGAAAACTGGGTTTTCAAAAAAACTTCAATGATAATATGAAAGGAATTTTCATACCTTGACGTCCTGCTGCAAAAGCCTTTGCTCGACGAAATATTTAGCTTCCTCGGCAAACTGTTCTGCTTTACCATCAGTTCCCGCACGCGTTGCTGGAGCGCGAACGCCCGACAATTGTAGGGTTATGTATTCGAAGCTGGGTAGAAGCATTACCCTCAAGGTTGACCCATCTCGGACCTGAACTCAAACTGAACTTTATATATAAACATTGTACAACGAATTAAGTAAGCACTGCCATCAGCAAAGAAAAGCAGCAGAGACTCCAAGTGATCAGAACAAGTTCAGACTGTGCTGCCTCGTTTCGAGCGTTTTGAGACAGGAAAATATAGTTATCCGTACGGTGAGCGCTCGAAACGCTGTCGCAAAGTATGAACACACCTTAAAAAACCGAGATAAACCGACCATTTCAACGACAGCGTCCACTGGTTTCTGTTTGTATTGATCTACCAACTGCCTGGGGTTCTCGATGACCCATTTCACTTCTCGAATGGCGTCGCTCGAACTACCCCATTTACCCTTTCCAGCAGCTTTAGCTTGATCTTGTAGCTCTAGCAGCTTCGTGACGTATTCACTGAAAAAGTAGCAGTTTGTATGTTTGTGAAGGACCCCCACAGATCTTGATCGAGAGAGCCTCTGAACTCACTCCGCTATTTTTCCTGGTCTGACCTCTAGCCAACCCTCTGCCACTCCAGTTTCAGTAACATTCTCGGCATTGTCAGGATCTAAATAAAGAGCATTGATTGGGCGCCCGTTCCATACTTCCGAATGGAATGAAATTGGGAGAACGCATATCCAGTAAGGTATACCTATCGATTTGGACAGCTAGTATATTGCTAAAATTCGCAATCACGCATTACCCTATTTTCCGGGATGCAAGGCGCATTTCGCAGAGTCGCAAGGGTCGGAATGTGGTTTTATATGGGGCATTTCGGATGGATCTTTTCGTCTCTTTCCTCCACTACTTAATCACACTACCTTGCATTGGTATCTGAGCTGCATAGCACCCCATTTTTGAGCCTGGAGCGCGAATTCAAAACGAAATTACGGATTGGAAACGAATGGAAAGAGCAATGACGCCAATGCAGCGCCAATAATGAATGACGTAGTCCTAATCCACTACTGAATTATACATAGAGACAAGTTTTGAGCAGCTTATTTTTAGGTTTTTTTAGGAGCAGGATGGTAACCGAAAATTGGTTCCGAAGAATTCGACATTCTCGAACGTTCTACCCTCAAGAAAAGTGAATGAATGAAATACTGACTTGTTCCTCCCAGATAAATCTTGCCATGATCACGTCCGGACGCAGCAGTAAACTCCTTCACAAACGTGACCATTTGTCCAACGATTTTCTTTCGGAGGAATTCGCGCGAATCCCACGCAAACGGCTGAAAATGTGTAGCTTTGAGCTGGGCAGTTTTGACGGGCTCATGAGGTTCCGATGAAATATGAGAAAAAAAATACTAAAATACCTCATCAACAGTTGCCGCAGTCGTTTCCGTTGGACGTTTGCCTAGTCGCGGAGCAACCACATTACTGAGATAGACGGTAGTCTCTGGTGGAGGACCGTTTGTGGGCTGACCTTGCAAGACTACGGCATCTCCAGATAGCACCTTAATAATGCAAAGATCGTCATTTCAAGCGAAGAACATCCAGAATCGTTGACTTTTTCGAAAATTAAATCTCCAGTGATTATCTCGAAACTTTCCCTATGATTGCAATGCCATCATCCTTTGAATTAAGAGCCGGAATAGCGCA